ATATAAAAAATCATGTGATATGACGTCATTTCGACTATTTCGCGACTTTAGCCTCCAATGGTCGAAATGATTTCGACTATTTCGACCATTTCGGATATCCGAAATGATCCATTTCGACTTCATGTATAATACTGATAAATATTTTGTATCCTTTTCTAAAGGTTTAAGAAGTAATAAAATATCCTATTAAAAAATAATTTATAAAAATGAAAATCTATATAAATGAATAAAAATATTTTTTTAAATTTAATTTATCTTAATTAAATTCCAATCATCATTGTCAGAATAAAGAGTATTTATTGAAAGATTATCAACTACAAGTAATACTAATACTGATTCAAGTTCTTTAAAGCATTTTAATATGTAATATGTTAAGTTTCAACATGTATGTACATTTAAAATTAGCTTAAGATATTTGAATTTTTTAAACTGTAAAATGCATGAAGTGAATCACAATGATAAGTTGAATTTTTAATGCTATGCATTATTTGACGTACTTTTAAAATAAAATTACTAACTATTTTAATTCTTTCATCACTTCCAGATTTAAAACATGCATTGCACAATGATAGTATGAGAAATTTATTATAGAAAATTCATTACCAAAAGCTAAGGCAACTTCTTTTTCACAAACTAACATTGCAGAATCATTATTAGTTATAAGTGTGATGATTTACTAAAAATATTGAATTCTTCTAAAACACACATAATTATTTATGCAATATTTACTTTAGAATGTTTAATTGTAAATGAAATTATATCAAGAAGAAATTACAAAGTTTCTAATTAGAATCTATATAATGAAGAGTAATTCCTAAAAAAAGCTTCACAATTTATTATAGAAGTTCAAATATCAGCTGTTAATGAAAATTTTTCTGCAATTTGATAAAATTTGTTGACAATATTATTTCTTTGAATAATAAAAGCATTAATAATCAAATCTATTTAAAATAAATGAAGGTTAGATATTATTATTAATAAAAATACAAATATAATGTAACTTTACTTTTTGCTTTATGTTGATCAGAAATAATATAGTGTGAACAAATAAATTAACAAAACTTTTAAAGAAGAGTTGTCAACAATTACAAAAGGTTGAAGATTACATATTAGCCATTGAATAAGATACTTGTTATGTTCATTTTGTTCTTATCTATTAAAAGGAGTTGTAATATTACTTTTGATTTTTTATGTTTTTGTAGATGCTTAAAGTTGATGTGTTTAGAAATATTTTCATAGGGATGATACACTTGTTGAAATTTTATATTTTTTAAACATATTTTGCAAACATTATAACTTAATGTATGGCCTGGATTTTATCAAAATGCAACCACATACTACTACTTTCTATCGAAATGCTTGAAGTCTTACAAGCTTCTGAAATCTGACTAACAGATTTGTCAGGATTAATTTCTTTATCAAGGTTAATTACTTACTCATCTTCATTATTTTCAAGTTAGTTGGGATTGAATTCTTTATCATTTAATATTCTTTTAGAAGATGTTTCATCATTTTATTCTTCTATTTTAACAAAATAAAGCAAGAAAAATATTTAGAAATTTTTCTTATTGATTGTCATTTTATTATAAAATTTACTGTTATAAAATTATTATTTTCATTACTAAATTACTATTAATAATTGCCAAAACAAATAACAGTGTTACAAAATTTGATGTTACAAAATTACTGCTACAAAAATTATTATAAAAATTTTTGTTACAAATTACTATGTCACAAAATTACCAATTGCAAATTAATTTTATATATTTTAATTTAATATTATTTACATTTTAAAATATTTAATTACTAATATTACAATTTAAATAATTTAAATAGAACTGACTCTCAAGTGAAACTAATATTCAGTTTTCTCAGAACTGACTCTCAAATAGAACTAACATTCAGTTTTAGAACTGACTTTAGTTGCTCAAATTGGAACTTTTCCCATTCCTAGTTATAAGTCATATAAGTCATATAGGTCATAAAAAATCATAGTCCAATACTGCTAGGAATTGAATTATTACAATAGGATATTAAAGATTTCTCAGAAAGAGGTCTCAGTTTAAAGATGAATAGAGGGACTGTAAAGTTGATAAAGTTGATTATCTCATCAGATTCATTATGAGATTAATCATCTGAAATGCACAAAAGATGTTTCTATCGAAGAATAGAGGTTATGTGATATGTGATTGACATATATATACAATATATTTTTTCAACTTGATTTACACGTCATGTCTCTAGTTCATACTAATATCATACTAATAAAATAATATTCAAATAAAGTTAATTTTTTGGTAATTAATATTTTGCATATGAGGATATCTATGCTAATTATGAAGTCATTGTAAGGAATTAACAAATAATGAAATACAATACATAATTGCTGGTGAAAATCTAGGAAATATTTTCTCCTAAGTAATTTATAAGTACTATAAAAAACTATCTTTAACTCTGATAATTTATTACATTCATGATCAATATATTTAAGTAAACATTATTCTGAAAAATATTTAGATAATTGTTATTTTATTTCTTTTTTTTTCTAAGCAGATGAAGAAAAAAGGCTGAGGTAGCTATTTTTTCTAATTATGAGAATTAGTGATATCTGACTAAACTCTTTTTTGAAAAATTGTAATTTCGTCAAAAGTTTTGTCTCTTTAATATTTTTATATAAATAAATATAAAATTATTATATTTTTTAATGTATTTTAATTCAAGGAATTTAGATCAAGTTAAATATAATTTTGGTAATTAAGTAAAATAATTTCGTTATTAATAAAAACTAGTTTTGTCATTTCAGTTTTATCAATTTTATCATATTAAGAAAGGTAATTTCATCAGGTATCACTAACGAGAATGATAAGTGAGTAAATATAAAAAACTAAGTGAGCTCAATTAATATAAAAGCGATCAATTCTAATGATTTCAATATGAATCTAATCGGCAATATACAAAGTAAAGATATTTATAAAGTATAATCAGAATATAACAAAGCCCTTAAAATACTTGCATTATATATATTGAAATACCTTTCAAAGGACATTCTTTGTGAAGAGTCAGATTTTTTATTAATTAAATCCAATAATACTATCCCAGATTATGGATCATGTAGAAAATATAATATCCCTATTTTAATAAAAGATTCATCTAAATTGCTTATTTTAAACATTTGTGATGATATCATCCATCAGATTTGTGCGAAAAAAATATATAAAGATGAAACATTATTTTGCTCATATAGTATGATAAATAATAATAATCTATTATTATCTTTCCAATAAAGCATAGTTAATTATGGTAGTAGAGAAAAGAGTAGTATTTCGAAATCTGAGAGATTCTCTCTTATTAATCTTAGAAACTTTGAATATAATATCCTTAAAAGTCTTGAAGAAAAAACTGTCAAAGATTGACTTCCCAGAATTAGATTCATACTCTAAATGTGATAATGATATTTTAACATTTCCTTTCAAGAAGTTCTCATACTTCAAATGCAGACATATTTTTTACAGACTCTATATTGAAAAAAAACTTTTTCTTAGCACTCCAAACATATGTCTGCCTCCAACTGTAAAAAGAATATAGACATTTTAGATCAAGCTGATGTTTTTGGTATCATTTCTAATTTACTATTACCTGATTTCAAAGTGATCTCTCAATCAAGTGGAATTTTACCTTTATCCAAGATAATAAACAAAAACATTTGTCTTAACTTCACCACCTATAGGATCGAGGATATAACAACTCAACAACTTAAAAGTACTTTGAATTACATTAAATATTATGAAGATTTTTCTTTGTACTCCTCTCCTTAGGTTTTCTTCGAATATTTTCTCAACTTTAAGATCTTCTGAATGCTTATATATTTAACTTGCAAGTATATCGTTCATTACAATTGTATCAATAATACAAAAGCTGTGCTCTATGAATTTTATTTGCTATTTTATTTACATATTTAGAATTGTTTATATGATCAGGAAGGTATCACAATTAAATTATTTTCAAGATCAGATTTGTTTACGTGATCAGGAAGGTATCAAGATTAGATTATTTTCATGATCAAGATTGTTTATATTAAAATACTTATATAAAGAATGTTGCTGTATAAAGGCAGTGGTTAGGATAGAAATAGTAATTTAAAGTCAATTTTTGTGTGTTTTTTATAAAATTCAAAGAGATTTTTATTATTAATAAAACTTATTAAATTTTTATTTTAAAAATAAAATATTTTTAATTTTTTAAAGAAAATTAAATTCTACATGTATTGAAAAAGAAAAATTAATTAAATTTATAATAAAGTTGTGATTGAATTATGATTAAATTTATAATAAAATTTGAATAATTTAATTGATTATATAATTAATATATGACTAATTCTATGATCAACTATGATTAAATTTGTTATAATATATTTGATTATTTGATTTGTGATTAAAGTTTATGATTTAATTGTGATTTAGTTAATAAGATCATTATAATCAAATCATTTAATCAAATGATTCATTTATTATTTGATAAATGATATTTTGGATCATTTCAATCAAACAATTTATATATTATTCAATTGGAATGATATTTATAATTATTTCGTCAAATAATGCTTAAATTGTTCAATTGGAATGATATTTATAATCATTCTATCAAATGATACTTAAATCGTTTAATTGGAATGATATTTATAATCATTCTATCAAACTATGTTTAAATCATTTAATTGGAATAATATTTATGATAATTCTATCAAATAATACTTAAATTATTTGATTAGAACGATATTTATGATTATTTCATCATACAATGCTTAAATCATTTTATTAGAAATATTTATGATTATTCTATTAAATAATGCTTAAATCATTTGATTGGAATGACATTCCATCAAATAATGCTTAAATTATTTAATTAGAATGATATTTATAATCATTTTATCAAATAATGCTTAAATTGTTTAATGAAATGATATTTTGATCATTTCAATCGAATGATACTTAAATCATTTGATTGGAATGATATTTATGATTATTCTATCAAATGATACTTAAATTATTTGATAAAACAATATTTATGATTATTTCAATCGAAAAATACTTAAATCGTTTGATAAAATAATATTTTAAATCATTCCAATAGAACGATTCACTTGTTATTTGATAAAATAATATTTTGGATTTTTCTAAATGAACGATTTATTTATCGTTGATGAAATGATATTTTTCCAATTAATTAAATATTGTAACTAATCAACAAATTAATAATTTTTTTTCAAATGTTGCAACTATGTTGCAACATATATTATAACGGTGATATGTTACAACATATTCATAAAGGCTACTATTCTTAGTTATATTCAAACTTTAAGAAAAGATTCAATAAAGAGAAAGCCAAATTGAATTGTAATTTAGAATAAGCTAATGCTAATATTGAGAAGCTCTCTGAACTCATACATAATCTTACAAATGAGATAGCGCAATTGCATTTAAAGAAAGATTTTCTAAATTTTCAGATTATTCATAAATGTGTATCTTACAAAGTCTAAGGATAAAGTCACTGCAAAATCAAAAGAGATAAAAGTTTTCTAATCCAAGTTGAAAACATTAGAGAAGAATTATTCCTTAGCTCAAAGCTCAAATAAATTTATCTGAATAGATTCTCTCAGACTTGAATTAGAATACATGAAAGAAAATCTATCCTCAAAAAATTATGAATTGGAATATAGAGAAAGAAAGTAGAGACAAAAGATAATATGAGGCCTTTGCAATAGAAAGGGAAAAACTGCTGGGAAAAATTAATTTTACTTTTATATGCTAAATATGATTTTTATGCTGAAATATGTTCAAATTTAACATTAACTCACTTTTGATTTTTTCAGCTGTTTTCTCCTTTTCTATTGCAAAGGCCCCATATATATAAATGAGTATTAGATGACATATCTTTAGTAAGACTTAAATTATTTGAGAAAGATCATTTTCTTTGAGAGTTAAAATCAAAAAAAAATAATGAAATAGATCACACATTTCTGCTAATAAATAATTCATTATAACCTTTTCTTTGAGTTCATATTCTTACTTCTGCAGAGAATAATCAGGATACATTACTACATCTAGAACCAGAGGTATCAGGTTCCTTTATCTCACTAACTATCTCAAATACGAAAGAAGGGATTTCTTTGAAATCAAGTAGAGATAAACAACACTCTGTTTTTGACTCTTTTCTAGCTAAAACTATTTCAATAAGTGATATAAAAGCAGTTCTAACTATTTCTATTATTGCGGCTCTTTAATATTACTGATGTTAATATATATCATACTTATCTTATTACTTCTTGCGATTATATAGATTGTAATCAGAAAAAAAATATGGAATTCACTTTCTTGGTCAAGACGTTTAGGAGAAAGTCTATCCTAATTGACTAAATAATAGGTTTTCTTTTTTCAAACTATCACTTAGATTATCTAGCAGACAAATTTGCCTGCAAAATAAAAAAAATTATTAATTTCTTTATAAAATATTAAATATTAATTTTAGTAATATTATTACTATATAAAAAATATAAT